GTTCATCCTTCATCTCATTTCATACTGCGTCATTCCTTTGTGTCTGACGTGGAAAGGGGCAGAAACCTTACCCCTGTCGGATCATCTCATCTCGTTTTGCATGCCATTCTTGATGTCTGGTATGCTTGGTACAAACCCTTCATTTCAAAAGTGCCTTGAACCTACGGGCCTTGTTGCACTTTCGTTATCATCTCCATTACCAACATCATCGTCTTTCATCCTGTGTGTTGTAACAACATATCCGTGAGTAAGCGAGCATTTTCTCAGTGTGTGTGCGCCCCCGTCACAGTGTGGTGCGCATTTCTCACGGGGCAGGCATGTTTGTAGATCTGGACTGCTAATCAGGCGCTCTTTCATTGGTTGAGGTCTTCGCCGCACGGGTGAGCCTTGCAATCAGTGTTAACCCTCAGGCAGCAGTTCTTCTGGAAGAGGTGGCGAAGCGAACGCCACCACATCCCGTGTCGAGACTCGTAGTTTAGGTGCAGCGATGCTAGGTGATCGCCATAACTGTGAATTTCTGGGTTCCCAGGCAACTCTCAACAACCTGGGAACCGTGTACAACATGCCGCCATGCTGCAAGATGCTGCAAGAGCGTCGTGCAGGTGCTCGCTTTCGGCCCAAGTCTGCAAGGATGCGCGACCATGAGAAGGCCCAGGAGTACTTCCTAGCCGCCCAGCAGGTTGCTGGCCATGAAGAACCTGACAAGGACCTAGTGTAAGCCGGATTTTGAAGCAACAGCGGCTCATTCAGCCAGATGCCAGGACGATCTGTGGAACATGGGCATTGCCAAGAAGCATCTGGGCCAGTACGAAGAGGCCTTGCCGATGTTGCTCAAGGCCAGGTTTGAGAATGTAACACATTCCATGCCCAGCACAGATGCGTGATTGTATCTGACTGAAGCAGGCTTTGGAAGGTTGGAAAACGGAGGAACCTGATGACGATGTGACCATCGCAAAGCTGCATGACACCGTGGGCAGCTGCCGATTGCCCAGAATCTTCTAGCACAGTTGCTGCCAAGTCTGCAAGCAGAACAGTCCGCGGAGTGGTGTCAACACATAGCACCAGGTTTTGATTTGATGGGCCGCCATGAAGAAGCAGTTGAGCAGTTTGCCTCAGCTCGCTTGCTGTTTGGACGCAGCATTGGAGCAGACAGCATCTTTGCTGCAGAAGCGAGGTGGAATGCAGTTATTTGAGAGGCTGAATGGCATCTTGAATCCGAGGCCCACTTTATGGCAGCGCTTGTGAGGGTTTGACCAAGGCTTGTGCCATTGGCTTTGTGCATTGCCGGAGTCAGAGCATGGCCTGGTTCTGACAAGCATTGAGCCATGTATCGCACTGGAAGCTGTAGGCGCTGCTCCATGCCGGTCGATATGCTGAAGCGTTTGATAGATTGGAGGACTGCGCTGCCATATCCAGCACGTCTAGACAACGAGAGCCATTTCTCCCCGAAAGGAAACCTTCCTCAACCACGCACAGCGACTCACTTGCGCTACGGATGGTGTCTGAATCAGGCATGATGAACACGAAGTTGTGGGCTGAGGAAGGATGCAATCCATCCCACGCCCATTTTCGAGCTTTTGGGGCTCGCCCTCGAGGAATTTGTAGTGCCGGACCTGGTGCACTTTCTTGTCCCTCGCCTCGGCAAATTCCCGTGGCTCTAAGGACCGAGGCGGCGTTGATCCTTTGGAGCTTGTACGCCTCGAAGCCCCGATGGAAGCACAGCTGACTCCAAGTCACTCCTTTTCTTATCCTTCCAGTCATACGGAAGTGTGACTTCCCAAGGAGATAGCTGTCAAGAACATGGTCTATAGAGGCCTTGACAAAGATGGCAATGCTGGAGTGGTTTTCGAAAGAATGGCACAAGTTCTTCTGCGTTGTAGAAGCTTGGCAGCAGGAGCGTCTCGTTTCTTCACACTCCGCACAAACTTGCACTCGCACTCGCACGCTCAGCACACCCGCTGTGCTTGCAGCTCAAGCCCAATGCCCGCAGCACGCGTTTACCGTTACCCTGCATGCTGCATGCTAGCACCAACGCCAGCACCAACGGATACGCCAATGTGACACATCCAACCAAGTAATCAGCGACACCCTGCCCAGTGTCATGAACTTCCACTTTCCGGCATCGCGCTTGACCTGTCAGCCATCACACGGGCACACCCACCCCTTCACCACATCACGATTTCCACCAGCATCGCGAGGACATGTTACAGTTCATGAGCATCGGAGTGTTGGTGGATGTTGGCACTATCTTGACTACTTACCGTAGCGAAGGTTGAGCGTAATGGTTGCGCATCATCGATTACTGTTTATCGTTTGTCCCTGAGTATGTTTCTCAACGACCACGCGGCCCATGTCTAGTGGCTGGCGGCCCCGCGCGTTTGAGATTTTTTTGCGGATTTTGGCTAGGTTTGGGACCCAGTCACCTCTTCTGTGTCGCTCCCTTCAGGGTGTTGGTGTTGGCTGTTCCGTGCATCGTCTCTGTTTAGGGGGTTGAGGTTGAGGGCGGAGGGTTTGCCATCCATCATTGCCTTACAAACCTTCCATCGTTGTTCTTTTCAAGGTGTACGACAATGAAAACCAATATCCCGCCCCGCTCAAAAGCTTATCAGGGATTTGAAGTTTAGGTGCACGCACTGGCCCCAACCACATTTCTTCCTCGAGGTGCTGTTAAAATTAGGCGCACGAAAATCTTTCCAACACAAGCAGCCGTGGCCGGTCTGTCGATTCCGGAGGGAAGCATACCCCCCCGTATGTCGTGGTGCTGTCATATAGCAACACCCCCCGCTGTGCTGATACCACTCGTGCCCCCGGCACTTGAAGCAAAGGCTGCAAAGGGGTTTGTCCTTTCCCTCTGCCTCGTCTACCTGCTCTGCTTGAGGCATGGCTCAGGGAGATGAGGCTCGGCAGCAGAGCGCCGCACGACGCAGGGAGCTGGCCAGAAGCCTTCTAGGCAGGGCCGGCATCCGGCATGGTGCTCTTGAAACTTGATTGGGCTTTTGCAATGAAGGCAGGGCCGTGCCCCTCGTGGAAGAAACCACAAGATCAGGAGAAGCCGACCTGTCCCACATCAGTGCCATCCGCTTAGTCAGCGAGCATTTGCGGATGTGCGGGTGAGATCGCCAGGGCTTGCCTCTGCGAGGCCTTGATCACTATGGAGCTCCAGGTGCTGGATGCTCAGGACGCAGTGTACAGAAAGGCCTTGAACGGAGCCGATCCAGGCCTCGCAACACCGGCTTTGAACATATAGCAGGAATGCTGCTTTATCCTATGGGTCCTGGCAAAAGCTCAGAGAATCTACCTCAGCCTGAAAAGTCGCGCAGTGTTTGCTGCAGGACTGTGGGACCGTAGGAAGCGGGATCACGTAGCGGCATGTTGATGATGCACGCAGCCCGTCATCAAGGTGACAGCCAGCTTACAACTTACACTTTACGAAATTACGAAATACATCTAAATATGGTTTTTGGCTTGCTTCACTGGGAAACTTGCGGGAATGCGCTTCTACATGCTGTTGCCTGTCGTTTGATGACATGTGGGTCGGAGCAGGAGCACGGCATCTCTCCTGAGACCCCCGCTTGGCCCTGAGCAAACTGCACATGATGACCTGCCATTTACCACGCGACCAGACCAGCAATAACATTTCTTGCGATCAGTTGCGATCCAAGATCAGTTCTCTCGTCCCTGAGTGGCCAGAAGATCTGCCTGGGGACATGCCAGGCTTGGTTTCGCTTGGCGGGTTTATGGCATTTCTGGTGTGTGGCAGGTGCCCCGGCTGAACCACTTCGACTTAGGCTGCAGAAGCATGAGACACCTTGCGGTCAACATGTGCATCCATTGACGCCACAGGCATTGCTTCACGCACACCGGCGGCTTCTCGAACGCCTTGCCGACAGTCCACCCTGTGCGCTCGCGCTCTTCCAATCTTTTGTCATTTTGCATGTTGCAAGAAAGCGCAGAATCCATGCGTCATCCGTGCTACAAAAGGTTGCGTCCTGCAGAGCTCCGCAGACTTCGGAAGCGCCGGAGCTTAAGCCTTGGTCTTCACACCTGTGTGCATCCACAGCTGAGCTTTGAGTAGACATCGAACCCAAATATTGAGGAGGATTCTGGCAGAGGGATTGAGGGGAGAGAGATATGTTTGCGCTCGCGGTGGGTGGATGGCTGGCTGGGTGGCTGGGTGGGGGGCGGGGTGGGTGGGTGGGTCCCGGGTGGGTGGGGGGTTGCGGGAAGTGGGGGAACACGCCACCCCCACACCTGCACCAGGTGTTTACATGTGCGGTACGATTTAGAACGTACGATGCCGGAAACTCCTCAACCAGTCTCACGAAGTCGGCCGCCCGGAAGAGGCGGCGGGCGGTAGGTACAACGAGGAAGTGTGAAGTGAGATGAAGTGAATATGTTGCTCTGCAGTCCGAACTAGTTACTCATGTGGATTTACGCGGGCGCGGGATTCAAGACGCCAACGTCTTCCGACTGTCTACAAATCTTGATTTTGTCGTGTCTCCCAGCTTGCTTGGAGCTTCTTAGAGGCTTCGCGCAGGTTCTGCTCCTCAAAAGCAGTTCCTGTTGTGTCTTCATGAAACCCCTACGAAATTACCCATTACCTAGTGATCGGCTCTTAGGGCCCAATGTTTAAGATGTCCTTGGGGCAGCGACTTCCGCACTCAATCCTGAAAGCCAAAGAGCAACTGACCAACGACTCGGCAAATAATTGTCAAAAAATACCCATGCCGAGCCCAGGGCTACATAGTTCTGCTTCTTGTGGTAGACACCCAATTCCGGGCAAAATCGCTGTAATGTGCCAGAAACCTCTCTTTGATTATTCCTTGTTGATCCCGATGGACGTCTTGAATCCTGCGCCCGGCTTTTATGTACCAACCACCTGCAGAGGCTAGCGGAGTGTGCGGACTGACGGTTGGTAAAGGAGTTTGTGCGAGATCGTGTGAGTGGCCAAGGCGAAGCAGCGAAGCCGCCCTGTAACTTGAAAGAGCTGGCTGGATACCCAGTGCAGAGGATGCCCAGTGCACAGCACTGCCATTTCTGAGCGCCTGCTCGTGCACGATGACCTTTAGCGAAATTGAAGGTGGAGCGCGAGAGCTGGAGTCCAAGCTGAATTGCGCGAGGCGAAAGTGCACACTTTGATTCAGACTGGAAGAAGGGGGGTTGCGGCGACCCGAAACTTTACTTTAAGGGAAAGGTTGAGCTACCCACCGCCGCCAAGCCGAGTCGGATCCGGCCTTGCATATATATTGCACATCGGAGATATTTGACATTTTGATAAGGTCGCGAGCCACACATATTCGCTCCCGGGCAGCACTTCAACTATTGCGCGCGGCTCAGTTTTGCAGACATGACGGCAATTATGCATAAGTTGGAAACAGCTGGCAGATCCAGGTAGCGTGGGCAGCCGGCTGGTTGCAAGAATGGTGGAGGAAGTTTCTGGCCTGACCATAGCAGAGTGCCTGCCGGGCCGACTGGAAACGCTGCCTCTCCCGGAGCCGTTTGGGCTCCAGGTACATGCAGAAGCATATTTGCGAGCCTGCTGGAATGACGGACACCGGGTTCTTCATTGACGAGTCGCTGGCAGCAGACTGTGTTTCAACAGGACACCATCCTTTTCGAAGGATTGCTTGCTTGCATTTGCTTGCATCCCGCAGTGGGTGCTTTGTCCCAGACTACCATCCCTGGGCTCTTCCAGCTGTGGCTGACGGTCTGTTTGGATGCTGGAACCGCTGGAGGCGCTTTGTCTACGATCCTCCGCCGTGCTAGGTATGGGATGTCATGTGCTGGGAGCCAGTGGGGCATGGCAGGCTTCGCTGCCGCTCCATTTACGCAAGGTTGTGCGGCACTCGGGGACTGGCAGGAGAGGTGCACAATGGTACCCGCAGAAGTTGATGATCTTGGTGCTGCAGGTGCGGTTGTGCATTCATCGATGATTTGAAACCAGCCGGGACCGGAGTGATATCCCCGATGAAGCTCTGGAACAGGCCGGCGCTGGCGAGTGCATACGAGTGTCTAGATGCTCTCGGAGCCTCCAGCCTCCAGGTCTTCGAAGCTGTACCATCCCGATGCAGGGCTTGTTGGTGTAGTTGTCGTGCTTAATATACTGTACACAATTCGTCGCAGAGAGAGGCCATGTCTACCCTAGCCATGCTATGGCAGGGACGGGCTCTGACTTTGCTGCGAGCTTATGACCTATGACACTGAAGCCCATGCGATTGTGTGCACTTGATGTCTCTTTTCGCTGCAGGTGCGTTTCTTGGAGGTTCTGACCAGAGATGCCCGGTCCTAACTCTGGTGTCAGTCTTGCTCCCTCTGTTCAAGTTCCCTGGGAGCTTAAGGCTTCTCAGGAGCCCGTGCTCAGCCCGCCCCTGCCTGAATTTGCTTAGCTTTCGCGCTCTGCTTTTTTGTTTGGCCTTGCGGCCGATTGTTGAATCTGCTGGAGAGTTGTCAGGTTCGTCTTGGAAGCCTTGGCTTCTCCCGTGACGGAGGAGCTCCAGGTGCCAACAGACGGAAGGAAGCTGTGAACCCACTGCCCAGCACTGCCCAGCGAAGGCGCCCTTTGCGCTGGATTCTGTCAGTGTGGGGAGGCGGGAGCAGGGAGCAGGGACCCGTTTGCACTGTCCGCACTTCCAAGCTTTCCACTCGTTGCTGAGGTTGTTTCCGGTTCGTGGCGATCGGCTGCCTAGGCCGGGCCTAGGCTGTCCAAACGTCGACGATGTCGCCTCAGTCGGCTTCGGCCTCGTCAGGCAGAAGCTCCTTCGACCTTTCAACAGTTTTCCCGGACAGAGATTCTCGCTCGGAGCGCATCTTGCTCGAATTTTGCGAGCAGCCATGCGGGCGGCCTACATGTTCAACTTTCTCAGGTCCGTGATCTGCGAGCCAAAGAAAGTCCGAATCTAAGATGTTTATTGAAATATCTTATATTGAAATGATATATTTTTTCTTATTTCGTATGTGGTACGGCTGAGTACGGCTGATGGAAGGCTTCGATGGATTTTAACGTACCAGTCTTAGCCTAGCGCGCGATTGCCATCGCAGATAGGCGCAGGCCGGTTGACTCGCTTAAAGTCACATGTGATCACAGGGCACTGAAGGAACAATGCGCAAGAAAAGCGTCGCGCGCACGTGTGTGTCTGTGTTGGCATCACAATGGCACCAAATAGCCTTCATCTGGTAATATCTACTGGCGCCGGTGTGCGCGCCCGTGTGCATGCCCCGCGTTCTCCCCACGAAGGAAAAGCAAGGAGCAGGATGTCTCATACTCGGAACATGCAGACAGAGGTTCGACTGAGGGCTTGTTTCCTATCGTTGGAACGAAATGCTGTTGTGGATTTGATTTGGGTTCTTGGGGGATGGAGTGTCGTGGCAGTTTCGACATCCCGGCATTTTCCGCATGCAATCGTGCCCTGGGGTGGTTAACTCGCATCGTAGTGAGGTTTCCGCACTTAGTTGATAAGCATTTAGCAGCCGGACCTGACATGCATCTAAACATCAATCGGTTGAGTGTCAACACTGGCGGTTTCCATTTCTCGGCCAGCAGTGGGCCTCGAAAGTCAACGCTCGGCATGTGCATCTCGGGTGTACTCGGGCAGTCAGTGCTTCTACGCAGAATGCTCGGCAATTGGATTTCTCGTCCACAGGTGGGCGAAAACTACCGCTCTGCATCTCATATTCAGGGTGCTCGGTACTTGGACCTTGAGGGTCCTCGGCCAGCGCTGGGATTCGAAAATCCATAATCAATTCCTGGTACGTGGTGCTCAGGGTGTGAACGGGAGGTACGCGGCACGCATCGATCTCGTCAATGCTGGGTACTGGCATCTCGGGTGTATCCGGCAAGTGGTAGATTTGAACATGGACCCTCGGCGCGTAGATTTCTGTTGTATCTGCAGTGCGATTTATGTGTACCTCGCTTCTGCAGCTCAGAACATAGTCTCACAACAGTCTCGAGAGGAGGTCTCCTCGTAGCAGGATGTCATTGGGACATTTGAGTGGTTCATTTGGTTGGGGGTTGCCGCGATCTGCTTACGACACGGGACATGCCGGCTGACAACATGAGAGTCCAAATCAGCGTCCACATGCTGGGGCGATGTGTGTCAAATCCGCTGCATGAGTCGCGGTAGTGTGGTGTAGAAGTCATTGGTTACTAGTCGTTGTTGACAGCAGTAGCATCTTTCTCGTTGCCCTCGTCACCTTCATCGTCATGGTCATTCTTACTGTCGTCCTCACAGAACAATTGCCGTGGCTCCATCCGTCTCTCCAGCCATCAATTGTGCAGAGCTATCACTTCCACGAGCAGATTTTCCCTACTCTTCAAGCGACTTCATGTAAGTCGACTCCCGAGGTCGCTTTGCCACCACGAGCTGCGGGGACATGGCATTGGATGGGTTTTGCTTCGACCTGAGCTGTGAACAAATAAGGATGTTCCGGCTGAATGTGCGGAAGTTAGGTCGTTTGACAGTCGCGCATTGCTCTTGCCATCTCTTGCCATTGCATCCAGCGCCCCCTCCCCGGCTGAAATTGCTTTCGATTTGGCCTTTGTTTGGCCTTCCAAAGACTCAATTCAGAACAAGTCCATACTGTCCTCGAAGGGGGCCTTTCAATGCATTCAATGCGCGCAACCATTCTTTTAGTTGTGTTCACTGGGTGTACATAAAGCCGTGGCATGCCACCCCGTCCTAGCAAGATCAAGAAGCACCCCGTGCGCGGCAACACCGATGCGTGCATAGTCCTTCGAGCCCGCATGGCTATCTTCTACAGTACGGCTGAATTCATTAATGAGCCCCGGCGACTTTCCAGGGCCAGCGCAGGTAATTGGCAGTCGAGGTCAGGCCGCAAGCGTACAAACCGGCATTGAATCACGCAGATCTGTGACATCGGAGGAGTCGTTAGCACATTCAGGTTTGGGCATGTTGTCAGTCGAAACTTCACTCGACACTTTCAGCTGAGCTGCCGGTCCGTTTTTGCACCTCGTTCGGGAATTGTTCGCCACCGATTGAAACGCAGCGGCAAGCAGTGGACATCTATCACTGCAGGACACTCCCCGGCAACGCCAGCTGAGTGTGTACAGTTACCAATTTCAAAGTCTCCCGCATTGTGGGCAAGTTGGGCCTTCGTAGAGATTTTGGCTCTTGCTCAACATGACGGGGTGGCGCACCACATCCAGGGCTGCGCGTCTGAGGCTTCGACTTATTTCTTCGTGAATCCCAAGGAGGAGTTGGCCGCCTGCTTCCTCACGCAGCTCGTCTCTCACAGGAGTGCCGCGGGCTGCGCGGCCCGCTGCGGAGCATGTTGCGGAGATGCTCAAACCGGACTCTCACAGAAAAGCCACGTCTCATTGCGAGGACCTACCCGATCCTCGACGAACTAGTGAAGGGTGTGCACGACGCACTGCTGTGAGAAAGCTGCAACAGGGAAAGTCGCGCAGATGACGTGAGCAGCTTGCAGCTGAATTCCCCTTGTCCTGTCTGAAGAGATGTCAAGGCACGCGGTAGGCATGCTACGATGCGAGTGTATTGCAGAACCAAGAGTTTGAGTCGGCTGCGGCCTGGACCCAGCGTCATGAGTGTACGTTCAAGAACATGTAAGAACAGTCCGGCAGTCTGTTTGAGCTGTGCTGCACACACCAAACAGCACGAAAACATATCGAAGCAAGAGCCAACTGGCATAAACCGTGTAGACGAACCGGAAGGGATATGTGTTGGGACATTCATTGCTCAGCAAGACGTTAAGAATGGATGACTTCGACTGGCAAGCTGCAGATGATGGTCCATCTCTGGAGGAAATCGAAAGGCCATGGAATCCTGCTGTCCAGTACAAATCTGGCATGGACTTGGCAGATCGCAGGTGTGCCTCCGTTCTGCGGCGAATCTCACCTTCCGAGCCTCGGCATACTTGGGTTGCAGATTGCGTACAGAATTGGAGCGTTTAGTGTCGGGCTTGTTTTTCGCTGCTGCGCTTTGAGACCAGTGTATGTTCCAGCTCGAGGCTCTTAGAGCGCCTTTCAGAGCTGGCTTGGATATGGCTCTGCCCAGGATTTGGCACGCCCAGAACTTGATAGCGTCCGGCAGGCACGAAGAACAGTTGCACATGTGTACAGCTGTGCCATCCTGACAGCTTATTATGCAGCAAAAGTTACGAGCACCACACGAACATCTGAGATTTGATTCGTCTCCGGCTGTTGGGGCGTGGGCTTGCGGTCTTGTAGCAGGGAGTGGATATCAAACAGAGCCACAGTGGTTTCCTGGGCTGGCTGAAATTCTACAGCAGTGGGAATTGACATTGAGGACGAGGCGGAGCGTGAAATAGCAAGACCATCGCGGCAGCTCCTGTGGAACGTGCCTCAAACAACGGCATCCTACTGAGTGACTGGGTGCTTGTGCAGAGAAGCATTTGTCACCGAACTCGACCTTTACCGTCGACGACTGTTTTTTTGAGACGATATCATCCTTACTGTAGCTACTGACCCCCCTCCGCAAGATATTGAAACTGCAAGACGAGCTGGATTTTTCCGTCAGCTTGAAAGTCGGAATGCAACAGGTTGAACATAATAATTGATTTGGTTGTGCTTTTTGTGACGATGTGGGTGGTCGTCGCATGGCAAGGCTGGACTGCCATTGCTCAACACTCAGCCATCAGAAGCCAAGCATGACTGCAGCTGCTCTGCCTCACTCTGCCTCTCTCTCTCTCTCTCTGGCTGCTGCCCTCTGTCTTCTCTGCGCAAGAGCGGAAGCGGTGTGCTGGTCTCGCAAGGTTCCGGAGGCTCGTCCTTAAGGAGAAGTTTGGATCGGAGGACGTAGTGGACTTCCTAAAGCAGAAGTCTGTCCCTTGACGGACAACTCATGCAGAATTCTCGGTTTTCTGCATAGATTTTGCGTGAGCTTGCGATGGCCAACAAAATCCGAAGCTATCTGAGGATGTGTACCAGATGAGACTTGACATTGTTTATGCGGAGACGTCATGGCTGAAATCGCTACAACCATGTGCAGCGCATGAATTTGTGATTTCTTTGGCGTTGTTCACTGATGTTGAGAGACATCATGAGTGCTGGTACGCAGAGCACCCCCAAGTAAGCATTCGTGCCCTTGGTACGACCGTGTATACTAGCCCAGGAGATCATGACACGGAAACATCGAAGGTGTTTCGCTAGGTTAACATCGAACACGTTTACTTGATATATTTGAGGTCTCGGAATGGCGTGGCCATTTCCTCTAACGGGAGGCTATTTTGAAGAGTGGGGAAGGCGAACGGGGCTGCGCGCCCCGCTTTGCCGCCAGGGAGGCGGATGAACCGCTAGAGCTCCATGGGGACCTCCAGCCAGTGGAGCCCTAGTGGGGAACCGCTGCTAGCGGAGCTATTTCCCGATCATGGGCCAGCAGAGGTGGACCATGAGTTACTACACCGCGCCAATTGGCTGAGAACGTTGCGCCCTACGGAACTGCGCCTGTAGCCTGGCAACCCTTCATAACCTTTCCGCCAAAAAGGGATCTAGCGTCTGTGTCGGAACCCTCCGGCTTTCATCGTCCTGCCTGAGGGGCCGCATCCTGCAGGGATAGCGCTGTGGGCAGCACAGTTGTCACTGTGTTCTGTGCCGTCTGGACTAGCAGGCATCCCAGTTGTAGCCAAACTTGCTGCCGTGGCCACCATCGCGTCAGCATAAGTAATTAGTCATTCTTTTCTCCTGCAGGTCGTTCGCAAGGGCATGTGTGCATGTTTCTGCTAGAGCTGCTAGAAGTGTTGGTCATACGCTGCTGGTCGCGTCCTTAGTTCGCCACTCCGCCGGCGTGCTTTCACAAACGCTACAATGGGGTGGGGGACCAATCGACCCGCTGGGGCCCACTTTCCTGCGGGTTGCTGCGCGGGGCCGTGCTCACCGGTTGGTCGCTAGGAAGTGCAACCGATCCTACTTTTCCAGCTAGAGCTCGATCGCCTCGGCTGGAGCAAAGAACTTTGAAAGTAGGGCCTGGTTTCGGCCCACCAAGGCCACGCTGGAGAACATGATTGGGCAGCTCTAGCACTCTATAGCGCGAGCGCTGCCCGTCTTCGCTGGTGCCGGTGAAGGCGCCGCCGAAGACTCCCGCACAGCACGAAGCCCAAGGCGCCACCGACGGTGCTACAGCCACGCCTGGTGCTAGGGCGTGGTACAGGGGCTTATACAGCAAGAACAAGCTGGGCCCCAATGAGCAAGTGGCTAGGTCAGCACTTGACCGAGAGGTCCGCTACGTACTACGTGGGTTGAGTTCTCCACTGGCGAGGAGGAGATGCTAAGCAGCGAGCGCAGTTGATACTTGATGAGAAAGTTTCAGGAGATGTCCCTATAGGGTGCATCCCTGACGCTGACGGGAGCCGAAGCCAAGCAGGTGGAGGCCTGCGCGAAAGAAGAGGAAGAGGAAGAGGAAGCCCAGGCCGACCGCGCTAGGACCCTCGGCCCTCGAGCAACAGAAGGCGGGGCCGAGCTAGAGCAAGGCAGGGCCAGGGCTAGAGCTGCGGAGAGAGGCCGCGCAAAGAACATACGAAAACTTAGCAGAAGCTCCGTGATGAGGATGGTGCCTCGGAGGGAGCCTAGCCTGAGGACAATGCTAGACACTCCGCAGACCCGACCTGCTACGCTAAGAGAGAGGTCCAGGTGGCGGATTTGCGAGATGGCGAATGCAGGGGCATCGAGCCCGCTAATCCTATGACCTGGAATGATAAAAAACAGGGATATTCCCATGAATCTCGCCGAGCTCCCACCGCCAAGAAGGGGTCCTCCCAACCGCCAGGAGCGGTCGCTAGTGGTGCCACAAAGGACCGGATGGGTAGCTGCTGGAGCTCAGCTGATTCTCCGTGCGCGCTACAACAGACCGCTGGAGCTATGCAAGGGGCCAGGGGCCCAATGCTAAGGGGTTAGGCAAGAACCGGGATGGCATCATCATCCCCGCTAACGTGATGGACGAGGAGGATGTCCCCAGCTATGAAGGGGTCAAGGGGCCCAATGCTAAGGGTTTCGGCAAGAACCGGGATGGCATCGTCATCCCCGCTAACGTGATGGACCAGGAGAGGAGGATGTCCCGGAGATCACGGACGCATACCACGGCTTGGTCTGCGAGCTAGACCCAATGCCCTCGTCGGCACAGGCAAGAGGCTAGGTCCTTGGCAGCAATTTTGCCGTCGAGCCGCCATGTCCAGCCAAAGGACACCGCTACGCCAGGGCTATGGGACGGTGGGATGATTTGGGGGCATTCCGTTGCACGGGGGTCTGCCCGAATTAGGGCGTGCAACCGCCGATGTTTGTAGGGGATACTAGATTTCCACGCGCCAAATTTCTGTGACATGGGAAAAAGCATAAGAGCCTTCCCGCAAAGGAGACAAAGGGAAGAGCTGGTACCCACACTAGGTCAAAGCTCACTCCCCTTTTGTGCTAAGAAGCTAGCGCAGTGGCACCAAGCAGGCACGCCATGCCGAGCTGTTTGCAAAATGGGGAAGGCTAGGTCACCTAGCATCCGGCACCGGACAAAGAAGAGCGAGAGACAGAGACTGGGGGGGGGCCCGGGCAGGGGTTTCTAGCAATGAGTTTCCGGTCAATTGCGTTGATAATCTTGCTGGCATTGTACCATGTGTCGAACCAAGCTGCTACGGCTGTTAACGTCCAAGAGCTTAATAATGGGGAAAGCCATCAGTATCGCGCATATTGCCAAAACTCGTAGCATAGCGGGTGCCAACAAGCTCTCTGGCATTCATGCTATAATATGCTACAAGTTGACCAATGTCGCGCTAACCTCAAACACTGTGCCCTGTGCCCTGTTTGACCACTGTTGCCAGAATTGGGTTTAGTGTCATTGTGAGCCTTTGGAATTGTATATCGGCATTTTCAAATTTTACAGCTGCTAACATGACTCAGATCTGGTGCTTCCAATCTTCGGCTCGCGAAAATCCGAGGGTGGCCCAATGTGGCCCAGGAAGACTGCATAACGTCTTCGTAGCCTCAATGTCTAGGTTCTGCAACTGGCACAGAAGCGTCGCATGATTTTGGCAGTCTGGGATCTGCAAGATGATGTATGGTCCCAATGCTTGGGGGTGTGGGACCTCCCGTGGTTTTGGCAGCTTAGGAGCTTAAGATGTTGAAAGGCCCGAATGACTTGCAGACTTACGGGCCTAGCATGCGTGAAGGTCTCAATAGTCAGAAACTACCTCGGGGGTCTCGTGCAATACTCTCATCCAGTCCCAATGTTTTGGGGTTGCCATCTGCTACTACAATTGGGGCGTCAACCACCAGGTTGTCGTCAAGAGAAAAACACTGAATTCGTCTTCGGTGCATGGCCAAGGGCTGAGCCACACGGGGTGTGCGTCGGATCTGAGAGGTTCCGATGTTTCTGGTCTTGCACAAGACACACCAAAACATTCAGCGGGCTTTTCGGCTCGCACGGATGCTAGGCATCTCAGCCTTGTTGGGCAGTCTGGGATTTCAAGATCCTAGGGGTCCCCATGTTGTGGTGGTGTGCAGTGTGGTGTGCTTTCAGCTCCAGATTTTCAGGGGCTCCGAGGAAGCTGTTCTGAAAAGTTGGGACCTGTGAGTGTGGAACCATAGCTGAAGCTATTGCTTTTTTATTGCTACCTCCACGAATTCTAGTCCCGCATGGCAGCAAAACATCGGGATTTTTCATGGCTTTGGAATCGTCGAAGGGCACACGGACTCGGCTCGGGGAACCCAAAGCATTGGGACCTGTAAGGACTCTAGGACTCTACGATTGCTTCTTCGGGAGCGCAAGTTATCAATTCTGCTGTGCCTAAACCCATAGCTCTGGACGGTCTGGTGCTGAGTCGGCGGCAGAGGTGCGATTTGGTTTGAACGGCAGGGTGAAGTGGATCAATTTCACTACAGTTTGGTAATAGGTAGGAGGTGGGGGGGATTAACACGTACACACAGGTGCACATAAAAAAGATGTATAATAATCAGTAATCCTTGCTACAAGACTAGGCGGGCGTACATGGTTTTCAACCATGTTGCACCGTCGGATAGAAGGTTCTGCTTGTACCCGGTCGTCAAAACCTAAGGACAGTGAAGCTCGAGCGCTTGCACAGAGTGGTCAAAGACGAGCATGACAAACGACGGCAAAAGGCTTGCCATGGTGAATAGAATTGGCAGATGATGGGCAACATTCTAAATTGTGGCATTTCGGTACCCTAGTTTGAAAGGCATATTTGTGTCTTCATGCACTGTCCTCAACAAAAGCCATTATCCGGATTTTCTACATGCGATGCTAGGTAAATTGTCTAGCATACGCTTTTCGAAAGGGATGTCGGCGAGGGTTACCGTTGCACATTGGTGCTTGAGAATCATGTGTCGACCGTCTCCTGTGATGGTTAGCTGAAACCAGGTTTCGGCCAGGCTTCCATTGTTAAGGCAGGTTGCGGTAACATACTGTGTATTACATATCAAATTGCAATGATCGGTTGTGCTTGCACAACACCATAGACTTTGCGCGGCAGGGGGTGTTTGAAAAGAGCCTTAAGTTTTCTGAAAGCAGCCTTCGGCTTGCAGGCAGAGACATGTGGGATGAACCTGCGAAGGAAAGCAGATCTGGCAGCGATAAAGGCCGAAAGTGCCTTGCCGGACTCCCTTGCCATTGCCGATGGCTTCCCGAATGCAAGCATTTCATTTTCTCATTTCTGCCTTCATACAAAACCTTGACAAGGCTGGATCCCTCAAAAAGGGTCGAGCCCCATGCCCAACCTGAAAGAGGCTGACTTTAGTGGAATGAGTTTTGCCAGAGTTTCATGGCGTGCAAAGGCTGTACGGCCGAAGAACAAGCTGCTGGGCCACCCAAGCTCGACGGAGAAGCCGGTCTCGACCAAAATAGGACGGCCGAAGCCGGAATTGTTCAGGAAGAGGTGCACAGATCCTCTGCAGCAGCGATCTCCAGATATGCCGCATGGGCTATAAACAATTCAGAATATGTATGCATGCATGTATGGACCGTATGGACGAACACACCTGCCTATCTGTCTACAAGAAATCCGTGTAGGGTGGATGACTCATTGAAAGTATGGATGGATGCACGGATGTATGGAATTGAACGAACAAAGAACAACCACTGGATCGATGTCCTTCCTGCTCTATGTATCTAGAGATGCAGCGGGCAGTTGAGAGAGGAGATCGAAGAACAATGCCGAACAGCTGATGTCTAGATAAGGACTGCTGAATGTGCCAGCAGATAGCCTTTATTCCAACTGCAACATGTGCAGAGGCTCCTGAGCTGCACATTGTTTCGAGTGCTGGAAAGGGGATGTGAAGCGGACAAGAGCCTCCGCCCTGCCAGGTCAGTATTTGGAGCACCATCACTTTTATCATCAGCTATGTCCTCGGTGTGCCGAACATAACTGGCAAAAGCGCCAGCAAGTTGCGGACATGCGCGGTATGGTTTGTGCCCGATCCCCAGATTTAAGCTTGCTTGCTTCGCGGTTTCCAAGACAGTAACTGACCCGTGGAGGAAGAGTGTCGTAAGCAAGGAGCAACAGCCAACGATAATATTCCGCCAGTGCATGTGAAAGGGTGGCTCGCACCGAGGATGCGCAGTGCCGTACATGTTCGTTGGTTTTTACGGAGAGCAGAGCTGCCCACGTCAATCCGTGGTAGTGCCCGATATTCAGTCAGCGACAGGTCACTGGAACTGACGATGTGATTAGCACCCCGACGGAATGTCTTGGAGTAAAATCTGGTGACGGCCTGGCGTCTGGACCTGTCAAGATCACAGAACATGGGCACACGCGGCAAATGCCGCAGCTTCGGTTAACCTATGGAAAAGCTGGGGATGGAATCGGGATGGAACTGTGACGCACTGTGTTGCAATTTAAGAGGGACGGAAACCGGTGCTGTTTTATTTTTAATGCTGCGCCGCCAATCCGACGGGGGAGAGGAGGGGGGGGCAGAAAGCTGTCGGGAAAATGTGTGGGAGGGAGGGGTGTTAAAATTGTGGACCAAAACCGGGCATCACTGAACTTTTGGGACGCAGGGAAGAGGATTAGATAGATGAGTAATGTCATATGTGCGGCGGCCACCCAGTGGGGCTGAGGTGGTGACAGGTGGACGTGTCCGCATCGGCTTTCAAATAGCCTGGCACTTTGCAATGCTGTCACATGCAGGCCCTACAGGTGTTCAGCTGTTTCAATTGGATCCCTGGACTTGGCAGGGGAGCCGATCGCTTGCAGACACAGTTCTTGAACACTTCTGAAGGTCTTGAAGCTCCTACGTGCGGGTGCGTTTGTGCTTACTACCTCTCGATTTCCGTGCGATTGTGACTCGGTCCCGCATTTGGTTGGGCGTGTCGCCACCGGTTCACGGGGAAGTAGATCAATCGGTTGACCTTCTGCCGAGGCGCTTTGCGATACTCGAAGGAGCCAGACTATCACGAATGGCGCGAGCGTTTGGAGGCAGCCTCATCGCACAGTTACGGTGTGCCTAATGCGCAAAGACAGGGGGGAAGTCGGCGAAGTCTGAGGTCTGTGGGCCCCTGGAACTCTGCGATCTGCGGCTCGTGGAGCGATTCTGCCAGCAGCTCCTGCGCCGCTTCCCACGCATCCATGCGCGGGCCCCGAAGCGATGCACCTCGCATTCGTCCGTTCCTTTGTGCTCGTGCGTTCTGCCTGTGTACTGTCTATGGCTTGGACGTGAGAGCAAGAGAATAAGAGAGAGCTTGGTAGATTGTACTGGGGGCCCTGGATACACGAACCCTTCGGCAGCCTCTTTTCTCTACAATGGGGGAACCATGTTCTACACATACTGCTCAGCCACTCATGCTGATTCATGCTGTACCTGCTTCGTGCGAACTCTTTAAGTAGGGCGGGGGACATCCTAGCCCTTTCTCAGGCAAACCCGATCCGACTATGGGGCCCGAACTGGCCTCACAATCTTTGCTTCTTTTCAAGCACGTCTGCGGTACTCATCAATTGAATTCGGGGTATGAAGGCTTTTCGCTCAACTCCGTGTAGACCTATGGGGGAAACCCAGCATGTTTTTCCTTCAACCCTTTAAACCCGAAGCAAGGGAGGGGACGCAACGGCCTAATTTATTTGTCGGGGCCTTAGCCCACCGCAGCTAGGTGAGTCTTGTTTGCTGCTTTCAGTTGTTGCGTCCCTTGGCTACGGAGACTACCCGAGTAAACCCTTTTTGGGCACTCATTCCAGTACAGCCGAGCCTCTCGGGGAGAATCCCCCTAGGGGAACCGTGAGACACCCTTGAACCGCGGGTGCGCGCTCGCGCGCGGGGGGTCGGGACAGGATGCTTCCCGGCTCCTCTGCCCTGTAGAGAGAGAGAGAGAGAGACAGAGACAGAGAGAGGCAACTCCTGTGCCCATAGCCCTGGCGAAAGAAAGACAGAGAGAGAGAGAGAGAGAGAGAATCACCCGGGGGGATTGTCTAAA